CTATATTCAAGTGGAAATAAAATAATAACAGATCACTTGGAAAGGACACTATGTAACAATCATTGAAAACTAAAGTCCTTTGAGAACAGTGACTAAAAAAGTATAATATAGGGTGCTACCCCACATGGGGCTAGCTTCCTTTTGGAATAAAACAGGTCACTTTTCTATTTCTGCAAGAAAAAATCGCATGTTCTCCTCCCCTCATTTGCGTAACTGAATTCCCATGACTATATTGTTCCTGCTAATGAAGATGTAATGAGCTTTAGAGGTGTTTTCATCTGGAAGTTTGGCTCCTATGCAGGGATGCTTAGCTTACAACATTATTACACAGCAGACACACAAAACCACAGATGACTCTGAAGCCCCAAACCATGACCACCATGTATTGCTTAAGGATGGGGGTGTTCTGAGAAATGCTGTGCCCACATCATAATGAGTCTCCTTACACAACCTAATAGATGGCACAGCCTACTGTAATCTCATGGGACCAGCATCGTATATGCAGTCATCACTGACTGAAATGTTATAAGACATACAAGCTGTATTGGTTTCCTAAATATAGTAATACTTGGAAGTCTTTATATAGCTTATGAGCAGGCACCTCCAAAGCATTAAGGCTACTTTGTCAGTTGTGTGATTTTCCAAGTCCAAAAGCTACAGCTCAGATAGAGTTTTTTTTTTTTTTTTTTCTCTTTTTGGGGGGACTGTGGGAGATTGTTGACTATCAGGGCTACTTTGTCAATGTCAGCAAAATTTCATCTTGCTAATAGTACATTAAGTTGTCAGAGATATTTAAAAAAAGAAAAAAGAAAAGAAAAAGTTCCCTGGCCTGAGAATTACTGATCCCCTCTTACTCTACTGTAGATGCCAGCTTTGCCTTCCCAGTGGGAGAGAGACCAGGTTTTAATGGGATCCTGAACGTAACCTCTTTCCACAGAATAGTGATCTCCTGATGTTCGTTACCCTCAGATTACTTTTGTTATCTGTTATTTTCTATTATCTCTTCTTGAAATGACTAAATTAACCATAGTTTTTAAGTTATACCTCCTTTATTTATTTATTTTTAAAAATTTGTTAGAGGGCATGTATTCTTGCCAGAGAAAGAGCAAACAGGAAAGTGAGGACGCACGCCCCTACCCCCTGGGAGCTGGTCACACTGTAATCTCTTCTCCATTTCTCTTTCAGGATTTTGGTTACATATGCACACATGCTTCTCAAGCCACGGGATCTGGGATTTGAACCTCATAGTCAGCCATGTGGGATTCAGCCACTTTAACCATCATGCTACTGGTTGGCCCACTTTTAATTAATTATAAGACATATGAGTCAACCAGAACTGCTACTTACATGAGAAAATTAATTTCAGACCACTGAGTTTTAAACACCAGCTAAAGATTTTAAGTCTACCACAATCCTTTGTGTTCTTTCTTTCCAGCTTAGGCTGGGCAGAATGGCTCCTGCAAAGAAGAGTGGCAAGAAGAAGGGCCGTTCTGCCATCAATGAGGTGGTGACCCAGTAATACACCATCAACATTCACAAGCATATCCATGGCATGGGCTTCAAGAAACGTGCCCCATGGGCACTCAAAGAAATCCGGAAATTTGCCATGAAAGAGATGGGGACTCCAGGTGTGCGCATTGATACCAGGCTCAAGAAAGCTGTCCGGGCCAAAGGGATAAGGAATGTCCCATATCGAATCCGTGTGCAGTTGTCCAGAAAACAAAACAAGGATGAAGATTCACCCACCAATCTCTACACTCTGATGACCTATGTACCTGTTATCACTTTTCGAAAATCTACGAACAGTCAGTATGGATGAGAACTAACTGCTGATTTTCAAATAAAGTTATAAAACAAAACAAAACAAAAAACAAAAAAGATTTTAAGTCTATGCCCTTTACAGTATTTATCGGTTAATGTAGTATTTCATTAATAAACTACCCCCCCCCTTTTTTTTTAAATAAATATTACCCAGACTTCTAGGAGTCTTGAGAATTCCATTTTGGAAGTTATAGTTCTATGACTGAGTTTTCCAGAAGTTAGGGTTAGAGGTACCTAAAAATCTGTGCTTTTGAACAAGTGATTTTGATGCATCTGGTCAGCTTATAGCTTCTGCTACCTGGAAGGTAGTTTCTTTCCGTCTTTTCAGTGCCACTCATTATTCTACTGACAATGTGAATGCTAAATGCTGCTTCTTAGAGAGGTAGCATATCTAGTGGAGTATGAGTTTATCTTTTCTTTTCTTTCTTTTTTTGGTGCTATACGGCATGTGTACTTGCTGGAGGGGGGGAGAGAGAAGAAAAGTGAGAAAGTCAGGAAGGATGGCCATGCCACAGACACTTCATTTCCATTCTCCTCTTGGGATTTTGGGCAAGTACATACCCACTAGGTATGATTTTAAAGCTGTAGGGTCCATGCAGTTGGCCATATGGGACCAAGCCACCTTAACCTCCATGCCACCCACTGGTCCAAGAACATGGATTTTTTTTTTTTTTTTTTTTTTGAGAGGTTTGTGCTATAAGGTGCATATGCTCGCCAGTAAGACTGAGACAGAGAGATAGAAAGTGAGAAATCACCCTTCTGGGGGGATGGCCACACCACAATCCCTTCTCCTCCATTCTCCTCTTGGGATCTTGGGCACACATGCACACGTGCCCAGCATGAGTTTAAGCCACTGGGTCTGGGACTCAAACTGCAGTCAACTACATGGGAATCCAGGGACATAGCCATTATGCCAACTGCTGGTCTTGAATTATTATTATTGTTTTTTTTAACTATAGGGCAGGTGCACGTGCTGGGCTGACAGACAAAAAGTGAGAAATGACCCTCTGAGGGGTATGGCTACCGTGCAACCCCTTCTCTCAGGAATTTGGGCAAATATGTACATACACCTGACGCTGAGTTTCAAGTCACTGATCTGGGACTCGAACTATGGTCAGCCACATAGGAGTCTAGTCCCTTAACCACTATGCTACATGCTGTCCCAAGAACATAGATTTTTAAACTCAACTGTCAAGAGTTGAAATCCTGGCTCTGCCCCATTACTGGGTAACCCTGGATAGGTCTGTCTCTTTATGCTTACTTATTTCACTTATAAAACAGTGATAATCTTAGTATCTACCTCCCTTAGAGGTGGTCTTAAGAATTAAATGAGATAATACACATAAAGCAGAAAAGATACAGCAGGCACATAGTAAATACTGAAAGACTGTTATTATTTCCACAATTTTCTTGCCTCTTCTAAATTAATTACTCTGTAAAATTTTTGGTTAAGACTCATATATAAATATAAAGCAATTACATTTTAAAAACCTGTATCCTACGCTAGAGTACAAGTTCCATAAGAGAGACCACGTCTGATTTTTTGTGTGTGTGCCTTCATGCTATACAGTGTCTAACAGAAAACGGACGCTCAATTATATAGTGAAAGAATGACTGGACCACTAGGGTTAGGAGGGAACAAAATCAGATTCTCTCATCATGGTCTACTGTCATGGAATTCTCTACCAACTCGGGGAAAAATAAATTGTCCTTGAATTTTAGTTGAAGATTCCTTCCTTCCTTCCTTCCTTTTTCTGCTAGAGGATACATGCACTTGCCAGAGATAGACAAAGGGAAGAGGATAAAGGCCCTCCCCTCTCCACCAAGCCCCCGGGGAATGATAACGCCATAATCCCTTCTTCTCTATCTACCTCCCCTTTGAGGATTTGGGGCACATACACACATGCAATGTGCCTAGACTGTATCTCAAGCCCCTGGGTCCAGGACTGAAAACCATGTGGATGGCCATGTGATATCAAGCTGCCTTAATCACCAGGCCACTGACTGAGCCAGCCCAAAGATTATTTTCTTTCCAGCTATTCCATAAGCCAAACTCACACAACTGTAGGTTTATGATGATTTTATAATTTTATATTTGCATTTGATGGAATAGGAAAAAGATATTAAGGGCTTGTTCATAATAAAAAAAAATAGGCAAATAAACATTGCTATTTGTGGAGGAACAGAGCCAAATGCAAATTAGTTCTGAGAGTGGTATTAAGGTCCTATTTCTTTTGCCCATCTTTATATCCAGAACAGAAACACACCTAGCAAATGGAATCGAGGGACCACTACTGAAATTTAATGTCACTTATCCAACAACTACTTATTGAGTGCCTATTTACATGGCAACCAAGGATTGCTTTGATGCAATCCATTCTCAATTGTTCAACAAATGAACTGAACTTATCTGAATTGCATTTAGTGAGTGTCTAATTAGTGCCAGGTATAGCTCTAGGCACCAGGACTCAGCCATGCATAAATCAAACAAGTTGCCTGCTTTCAACGAGTTAACATTCTTGGGAACAGCAGATTATGTCATCCACTAGGTAAAGAATACGTTAGTATGATTAGCTTAGAAATGTAATGATGGCTTTGACACGATGGAACTGGAGCTGTTTCATGCTTTGGTAGGAGATTATTATTTATGGCTTGCTAACTACAGATTTAGGAAAGACAGAAAAGATCTTTGAGGGAAGTCACCTATCTCAAATTTAAATGGAGAAAACCACATAGAGACTATGTTAGATTTGTTCTGTTTGACTCCAGCAGGCAGAAGTAGGAGCAGATAGAAACAACAAGCACACAGATTAATAACTGATTTCTCCCTAGGAGGTGTGTCCTGGAGGCTGTGAACTCTGCACAAGTGAATAGCTCCATGATCCTAGAGAGCAGCTCCAAGCGCAGGGCACAGGGCGCTTACAGAGCGGAGTGCTGCATTACCTGCGGAAACTTGACAATGATGTGATGTGGAATGCTCATCACGTTGTGCACGTAATCAAAGGTCTCCGTAAGTTTCCTTTTATTTGCAGTTAACATCTTTGGGATTCTGGTGATCATATGTTGAATTTCATTATGTTTAAAACCAAGTTCAAGACGATAAACCTAGGAGAAAGTAAATTGGATATGAATAGCTATTTTGGTACTATACCAGAGGACATACTGTTTTGCTTTTAATTTGGCCAGAGGGGACATGTGCTCTCTAGAGAGAGAGAGAGAGAAAGAACAGGAAAGCAAGAAATCACCCATCAGGGGGGGTGGCCACACCACCCTCTTTCTCCATTTGGAATTTTGGATTCGCACACATATATGCCCTTTCTTAAGAATGAGCTACTCATAGCCTAATAAACCTCAAGAAGAACCCCATGAGGAATAACCCTAATTTTAAGATAGAATAATGAGAGACAAGGGAGAGCTGGTCAGGCAACCTGGATAGCCCAAAACCAAACAGATCAGCACTAAGTTTTTTCTTTTTTTGAAGAAGTATTTATTTAATTTTATTTATTTTTCTTCAATTTGACCAGAGACAGACATACAGAGAAAGTCACCAGGTCTGGGACTCAAACCACAGTCAGCCATGTAGGAGTCCAGTGCCTTGACCACTATGCCACCTGCTGGCCCCAGCACAAATATATTTTTTTAAAAAAGATTTTTGTTATGGGGCATGTATACTCGCTGGACAGACAGATAGAAAGCAAGAAATCAACCCATGTGGGGGATAGTCATGCCACAATCCCTTCTCCTCCATTCTCCTATCAGGATTTTGGTCACACAAACAAATGTGTGCACTTGGCATGAGTCTCGAGCTTTTGGATCTGGGACTCAAACCAAGGTTGGCCCTGTGGGTTTCCAGTGCCTTAACCACTCTGCCATCTGCTGGCCCCAGCATTAAGATTTTTACAGTGCTTTTGAGCTTCTGCTTTCAAGCATACACCTATTATCTAGAGAAATACATGCCAAAATTCCAGACACATAAACTGAACAACTCTCGAGTACAGTCTTCTACGTGCCTTCATAGAATTCTATGTAGTGTGGTAGGTCCTCTATGTGGTTTCAGAGCTACGCTCCCCTACCAAGCTATTGCTGTTAACATTCTGCACTTTATCCTCTACTAAACTGTCAGCTGCATGAGCAGGGACTTCCTCCAACGCAGTGCTTGGGCAGGTGACCAATAAGACCTTGTCAATGACTGAACACAAAACACTTCAGAGCCTCAGTAAACAGGCTTTTCATAATAATCTCAATTACTATTACAGTTTTGTATACTGTCTAGTCAGTTGCCCTTGGCTTCACATTATTCTCCTGGAGGAAGGACAATAAAGAGTGTCAGGGGTGTTTTGTGGTAGAATTCAAGCTGGCAACTGGTAAGGAGAACTAACATCTGCACATCTACCAAGGAGAGCAATGGGCTCACTCTACTCATTTCCCAGAAGTCTTCTGGCTCTTCCAGTCCCAGACACAGACTCATGTTGGGGAGCAGAAGCAGTTTCCAGATCTCATCCATATACCTCAGCTCTTCCACTTAGGATTATGGATACCACTGCCTGCAAGGTGCCTTACTCAGGGAACACCTGGTCACATGTGAAAATATCATTAACCAAAACAATTTCCTCATTAGGTATTTGTTATATAATTATCTTTTTCTTTTTTTTTTTGGAGAGATTTTCACTATAGGGCGTGTGCGCTCGCCAGACACAGAGAGAGAGAGAAATAGAGACAGAAAGCGAGAAATCACCCCCGAGGGGGGATGGTCACACCGCAATCCCTTCTCCTCCATTCTCTTCTTGGGGTCTTGGGCATACATGCACACGCACCCGGCGTGAGTTTTAAGCCACCGGGTCCGGGATACGAACCGCAGTCGACTACGTGGGAGTCCAGCGACATAGCCATTACGCTAACTGCTGGTTCCCAATATAATTATCTATTTCTATTTCTATCTTTTTGGAAATAACTTCTTTTAAAATCTAGTTTTCCTTAAGATGACAACTGCAAAGTCTATTTCCTTCAGAGGACTTTAAACGATTAAAGAGAGAAACTGATTTCTCAAAAGCTCAAAGTTGTCTTACCTTCATATTTTCTTTCACAGGCTCCAGACTTCCAGTTAGCAGCCTTGGGAGACGAACTACCAGCTCTCTAGTCTACAGTTATAAACAAAACAGTATGTTAGTGTATGTGCCTATTTAACTACTTTAGAAAACTAAGGCATTAACGAGAGTTTATCAAGAGTTAATAGGAGTTAATACCTTGGTTAAATTTTAACGAAGTTAAAATTTTAAATGTGACTTGATTATTTAAAATGATAGAAACCATAGAAATCACTATAGGGCGTGTGCGCTCGCCAGACACAGAGAGAGAGAGAAATAGAGACAGAAAGCGAGAAATCACCCCCGAGGGGGGATGGTCACACCGCAATCCCTTCTCCTCCATTCTCTTCTTGGGGTCTTGGGCATACATGCACACGCACCCGGCGTGAGTTTTAAGCCACCGGGTCCGGGATACGAACCGCAGTCGACTACGTGGGAGTCCAGCGACATAGCCATTACGCTAACTGCTGGTTCCCAATATAATTATCTATTTCTATTTCTATCTTTTTGGAAATAACTTCTTTTAAAATCTAGTTTTCCTTAAGATGACAACTGCAAAGTCTATTTCCTTCAGAGGACTTTAAACGATTAAAGAGAGAAACTGATTTCTCAAAAGCTCAAAGTTGTCTTACCTTCATATTTTCTTTCACAGGCTCCAGACTTCCAGTTAGCAGCCTTGGGAGACGAACTACCAGCTCTCTAGTCTACAGTTATAAACAAAACAGTATGTTAGTGTATGTGCCTATTTAACTACTTTAGAAAACTAAGGCATTAACGAGAGTTTATCAAGAGTTAATAGGAGTTAATACCTTGGTTAAATTTTAACGAAGTTAAAATTTTAAATGTGACTTGATTATTTAAAATGATAGAAACCATAGAAATGCATGAACTTGTTCTCTGAGGAAAAAATAAACTCCAGGATCTAATCTGATGGAATATTACATAATAATGTATCTTTCTGTTTAACCCAGCCATATAATACATTTTTGGATGGAAAATACCAGGAATTCATAGGATTCCTATGGGTTGGGCAACTGTTAGAAACATAAGAAATAGCACCTACTAAATATACCTGACAAGGAACTATACAAATTCTCTCTGTTCTTTACCTTCTTCACGCTAAGTTCAAGTTCTTTCTGGAAAAAGCCCAATCTGTTATCCAGTCTTTCCACGGAAAAATTCAGCAAAAATGGTGCATTTCTGACCATCTGTGCAACTTCTGCCTTACTGAATTTTTTTGAATGTAGATAAGCCACCCTAGAAAAACAAAAATACATGTATATATGATAAACATTTACTCGTGTCATACTGCTTTCCAAAATAACAAGTGCTTTTTAAAAGCTCCCACACCAAAACAAAACAAAGACAAACAGAAGAATTCTGTAATAGCCCAAATATGGTTTAAACAGAAGAAGCATCTGTCTGAACTCTATGATGGATTCCATTTATATTTGGAAACAGAAAATAATTCTGAACTATACCAAGAGGCAGATTCCTTTTTTATTAATCTGGCTTGGTAGGGAAAAATAAAATTACATCTCTTTAAGATTTCTTTTTTGGTCTGAGAACAGAAAAAATACAAATTAAGAAAAAAAAAGATTCAAACTCTTTTACAAGAATGACCCTTAAGACTGATACAATGAGAGAGGAATTTTGTTGTTGTGAGTAGTATATTTACTGAGTATGTATTTTCATTAAGTTCTAGAAACAAAAATAAGGCCATAAAATACAGAAATTTTGACTATAACATTAGTAATTTTAAAAAATCTAAAAACATGAAAGGTAGTTTTATTAAATGCATAAATTACACCAGACACTATCTTATTTACTTCTCACTATAAAAACAAAAAAATCATGTGAGCCAGATAATTTTCTATACTATGTTTGAGAAGATACAGATCCAGAGAAGTTAAATTACTTGTCTTAGATCACTAGCTAAAATGATGAATAAGTGAGATCTGCCTACAACCAAAGCTGATGATAGTTCCATATAATCCATATACCAGAACTTACAGTCAAATGACCATAATTCTCTAAAGGTAATTCCTTGAAACTGAGAGAAGCAATAGATAAATTCAGCTATACAAACATTTTAACTATGTAGAAAAGCATTACAAACAATTAGTCAAGAGGTAAGTGACAATCTAGGAAAAACATATGCATCTTGTCACAAAGAAATACTTTTCTTAATATATAAAAGAATGTTTACTCCCCCAAAAGAAAACAGACTAATTAAAACATAACAAAGGGGACCAGCAGACAGCATAATGGGTGCATTCCTGGACTCCCACATGGCCGACTGTGGCTCTAGTCCTGTGGCTTGAAACTCACACTGGGCATATGTGTGTGCATGCCCAAAATCCCAAGAGGAGAATGGAGGAGAAGGGATTGCAGCATGGCCATCGCACTGGGGGTGGGGGTGTGGGTGTTTCTCACTTTCTGTCTCCGAACAACATTTGATATTCCAACATTTGATACTTTAAACATTGTTTCTAAAACAACAAATTAGGTATTATTTTTATCTGTAAAATGAACTAAAATAATAAAGTTTAGTAACATGCATTAGTGAGGATAAAAGGAAAACTGGCACATCTGTACCCGGTTGGGGGAATACAAACCAGGACAGAACTCTGTCTCATTCTCTGCGATGCTCTCACTAGCTCATAGCAGGAGCTAGCTCAGACCACCATCCTAACTGTATTGATCTTATAGATTCCTTTAATTCTTGGAATGCTGAGTAATTATAAAGATATTCATACTGTACTCTTTAAAATAAAAAGATAGTCAATTTGTGGAAGTAATTAAGCAGATTATATAATGATTTGTCAAGAGAATGTCAAATACATATAATCAAAAATTGGCCAGAAAAAAAAAGGCTTTCATTTACTTTAAGTGCACCCTCAGATAATTTAGCCATTTGTTAATGAGCTTTTTAGAAGAAAACGTATTCAAGTTTCTAAAGAGAAAGAGTTATGTACAGACTCAGCAATAAATGGAAAAGAAAAACTAAGAGGTAGTTGAATAAAAGAACTATTTTACATGTTTAATTTAGTTCAAAGAAGGATGATTTAAAAAATCATATTCATATGCATTATCTTAGTAAATCTTCATGTAACAGAAATATAAATAACTTACACATCTATTTTCTCCATAACTACTCTTTGGGTTATGTGAGAATCATTCAAAAAGCCTTACTTACCTGGTCTTAAGATTTTCAAGGTCTTCAGAAAAAATAGCATAATTTTTAGTCAGGAATGTTCCCAGTTGATTATCTTCTATACCCAAATCTTTTAGAAATAGGAGTATTTCCTTAATGTCTTTTGCAAAATCCAGTCTCAGAAGAAGGTTGGCTGCATCTGGATGTTTTTCTATTTTGGACAAATCCACTCCTAGAGTAAATTATAAATGCTGTTTGAATGTCTTAGTGCAGCTATTAAAGATCATACCCCAAAGTACAGGAAAATTACTGATGGAGATCAATAAGCTATCCAAAGAGAACCAAAAAAAAAATAAAAAAAAGGTCTAGGTATTTTATTTATTTTATTAAATAATTTATTATTTAAGGTTTTTGCCAAAGGGCATGTGTATTCGCCAGAGAGAAACAGTAAGAGGGAAAGTGAGAAATCACCCCCCAGGGGGTTTGGCTATGCCCCAATTCTTCCTCTTCCAAACTCCTGAAGTTTGGGAATAGACACACATGTGCCCAGTGTGATTTTCAAGCCAGTGTGATTTTCAAGCCTGTAGTTCTAGAACTCGAACCCTGATCAGCCATATGGGAGTCTTACAGCTTAACCACTTGGCCACCTGCTGGCCTCTAAATATTTTTAAACTAAATTGGTTGAAGAAATAAGGACAAATTTAAATGGAAATATAGTATTTATTTCCAAGTCAAGTATAAAGAAAACAGAGCATCTGGGGTTAAAGTTCCTCCCTCATTCAATAATTAATATTAATGCAGGACCATCATCTGTGTGTATGGTTGTTTTTCAAATATAGTTTGAATAAAGCTTGTGAACCCCTAATGATCTCCATAGTAACTGGTCAACTGGTAAGCATGCAGAGTAACAAACTTCATGAACTGTTACTTTCTTTGAAGTTTTTAATCTTTTTTTTGTTATAAGCATTATTTTTTAAACTTTTATTTATTACTATTACTATTATTACTGCTATTATTGTTAATTTGACAAGAGACAGAGAGAGGGAAAGTGAGAAAGCAAGCCACCAGGTCCGAGACTCAAATTATGATCAGCCATGTGGGAGTCCAGCACCTAATTACCACACCACCTGACATCTGCAGT